TAACTTCCACAAAAACCTAATCTTAATTTTTTTTTAGTTTATCAATTGACAAAAATCGCCTAATAGCTTCCTTTTAATTAGTTTTTTTAATACTACTTTAACTGGTATCTAGTCTACCGCCTAACATTATTTTCAACAGATGTAGATTTTTATGACAATGTTTTTAAGCTAAACTTTTATTGGCCGCTTTTGCTTAGTTTTAAAAATAGGACGGTTTTTTGACAAAATATGCACTTTTTAAAAATTTATTACACAAAAACTAAGACATCTAGAAATATTTTTTTTACTGCCGCAAAGAAGAAGGTACAAGCTATAAGGTTGTAACATTTTTTTAGTGTGTTGCATTTGCAAAGATAAAAAAATGAAGGCGTTTTTTAAAAGTTCAATAACTTAAAAAATTTAAATAGAACACCCTATTAATTGTTTTTGAGTTTAAAAGATTAATAAATTGTTTTTTTTTAAATCATTTACTTTTAACCTTTACAAATGCAAAACACTGAAAAATTGCTACAGCTTTAAATAAGACAAAATTTGTTCGAGCTGTCTTAGTTTTTGCATAATACATTTTTAAAAAGTGCATATTTTTGTCAAAAAAACGTCTTATTTCTAAAACTAAGCAAAAATTACTAATAAATGTTTAGCGTAAAAACATTGTTTTAAAAGGTTACATTTAAAAATACCAAGAAACATACGGTGTTTCATTTAAAAAAACACAAGTTTGTATTGTAACTTATTTTTGAGACACGCTGTATAGTTGAAAATAATTTTAGGTGATAGATTAGTATCTATCAATGTCCTATACATTTTTTTTAAATTTTACTATTTAAAGGTCACTAATGGACTTTCTCAACACTTTGGGACACTCAGAGTACATTAAAAAATAATAATTTGTGTTGATAGATTTTTAAATAAAAAGCGAAAAATTATGCAAATTAATGCAAAAATTAATGCTATTTCGTAGTTTTCAATACTTTATTTTAGTTAATTTGTTTTGTCACATTTTCTAAATACATTATAAAGTTTTAGACTCATTGTTGTTTGAGCACTCGCCTATTTTTTAATCAATTTAGTCATTTGTCAGACCGCCAAATGTTTCTCCTCAGTTTTTTAAGAAATATTCTGTATATTTTTAGCACTTTTAAAAACTTGATATTTAGTGAATTAATTGTTGAATTTTTGAAAATCTACAGGGTGTTTTATTATAACTTGCTGTGTTCAGTGTTAAAAAAAAACCTTTCCTGTGTGATCGTTCTGGTTTGAGTTTCCTGTTGTGAACTCCGGAAGCCCTATTATATGACTTCCAGACGGCCCTGTAGGGGCTCCCATAGTTTAAAAACCCTTAAACTCAAACCGTAATTTTTTTTGTTTTGTTTTTTTTTATCAAAATTAGTGAAGAAAGCATTACTTCCTAATGGAAAAGTCATCGCTTTTGTCAAATGTGGCCCTCGCAGGAGCTTCCTGCACCCATAAATCCTTCAAATTTGTCGTTTCTTTCTCCTCCCATTTACATTTGTAACAATGCTAACTTTTTCTGAATTTCTCCCAAAACAATTTTCACTAAATTTGTATTAATTTATTCACTCTTAATTACGATAAATATGGTTAATTTTCTCAAGATGCACCAAATCTGCATTCAAGCGAGAATGGTGCGAATTTGTGTTTTTTCCGGTGTTCTCGCGAAAATCGTCGTTTCCAGTTCAAGACATCCCGTTTTTAAAGCTCATCGATTCGCCCCGTAATGAGCCCGAATTAAAAATAAAGTAAAAAAAGCCGCCATTGGTCGAGTCATGTTCTCGCTTATCTCCTAGACTAAACGTTGCATCGGCACGAAATTTTTATCCAGCGATAAAAAAATAATCCAAATATTTATAATGCGAGTCCGATAAAAAGACGGCAAGGAAGTTGCGTTCTAGGACCGGCTCCAGGGGTGTATCTAGAGTCGTCGCGTATTTTTTCCCTAACTACGAGTAGGTTCAGGTAGAAGTAAACAGTCGGAGGGGGCGGAGGGGCGCGGATACAAACAGGGATGCTGGAAATAAAGATGAAAACATTGCAGGTTTTATTGCGGTATTGATTATAAAATCAATAAAATATGGCCCGGCGAAACGAAACGGGAAAAATAGCTGATTCACACAACTGTATATTTATTCTATGAGAATTAAAATGTTCATGCGCAACGCAATAACCTCTACCCGCGAAGAATGTAATGATTTTTTGGGGTAAATTGGAAGGGAGGTCGAGGGAGCCCTCATTAGCATAGGCGGCGACAATTAAAAATTGCCAACTCTGATCATAGATCACCGGAATCGATAGCAACGAATTTCAACGAAAAATCAACTTGCTTGGGATTATTATTTGACAGGTGCATGACACTTAACACGCGCTCACGTGACTGGCTTCGCCGATTAAAGACTTGACACATCGGCGTTTTAAGACTTCTAGATCGAGAGATTTTTATTAAATTAACTTAGTTTTCAACAAAACTGCCAAAAACCTGCTTGTTGTCATAAAGTTTTCATGCTCTGGACATCGTTAACAAGAAGTTAAAAAGTAGACAAACACTATTTTTTATACATTTATTTGCTGGTTTTTGACAAAAAATTATTGATAGTTTTATTATTTGTTTCGAAATTGAAAGAAAAGTTTTGACAGGTTTTTTAGTAGAATCTAAAACAATTTATATTTATTTATTTGTTTTGATAAAAAAATCCACGAGGCTTGATTTTGATAGTTTTGTTTTTGAAGAGTTTTTTACTTAGAGAAACGTTAACTTATTTGTAGCATATTTAAGTGTTAAATTTTAAATAAACAGCCGTCTCTTAATTAATGTTATCGATAGTTTTTGACAATGTTTTGATTATTGCTTTATTCCGATTTTTGTGTTTGACAAGTTTTGACAATTTTTCAGTTTTGATTTCGGAGTATGAAATAAAAAACAACAAAACGAATTAATTATGTGCAAACATTAAAAAAAATTTGTTGACTTAGTTTATGACAAAACTAATACAAAAACAAAACATGAAACTTTTTGCGTCAATTTTTTGTCATTTAGTCATTTGATATGTTGAGAAAATGCTTAAGAAGGAAAAATTTGCTTTAAGTTTTGTGTATGTTTTTGGATTTTGGACGGTTTTAATTACTATAAGAATACCATTTACCAACACTATCTAGTAAAAAATACATCGTTTTAATATTTTTAAATTACTGTTTTAAAAACAGTAAAAAGCGTTTATACTTGTCAGTTTTTGACACAAATTTATTTGGAGACTGGTGACTTTGCATATGACAACGTAAATAAGAATTTGGCACAATAATGCGTAAATATTAAATTTTTTTGTTGACTTATAAGTACTCAGTTTATGACAAAACTAATACAAAGATAAAACTTGACTATTTTTGACAACTTTTTTCGTCAATTTTTGTCATTTATCTTGAGAAAATTAAGGAAACAAAAATTTGATTTAAGTTTTGTGTAAATTTATGAGTTTTAGACGGTTTTAAATACTATATAAGAGTAGCATTTACCAGTGTTTTTGCCAACATTGTTTTAATATTTTTGATGAAATATTGTTACTTGTATTTGACAACACAAATAAATTTATCATAAAATGTTAAATAAATTTAATAACGAATATCTTTAGAACAATGTTTAGAATTAAAAACAGTAAAAAGCGTTTATGCTTGTCAGTTTTTGACACAAATTAACCTTAAAACAAATTTTGACCTAGAAACTGGTAACTTTGAATTTGACAACGTAAATAAGAATTTGGCACAAAATGCTAAATAAATTAATAAAAATCTTTAAAACAATTTTTTTGAAGTAAAATGGTTAAATTGTCAGTTTTTGACACAAAATATTTTAGGCCAAGTTTTTCTTTAAACTGCAACTTTTTAAACAATAAAATGTAATTTAGAGAAGCTTTTAAGTCGGATGATTTTGACGTTATTTACATGTTTTTGACAATATTTTATATTATTTTGCAAATCCTCTAATTAATTTTTTTAAAAAAGGTGAAAATTGCAAATATTTTTAGACAATTTGATTTGTGATTTTTGACGGTTTTTATAGTTTTTGCTAGTGTTTTTGACAGTTTTTGATAAACCATTAAGCATTGTATTTGACAACATTAATAAGAATTTGATACAAAATGCTAAATGAATTCATAAAAATCTGTAGAACAATTCTTTGGAAGTAAAAATAGGTAAAAGAGTTCATTTTTTGTCAGTTTTTGACACCAATACATTTTAAGACTCTTTTTGTTTTAAACTAGTATTTTTTTTTAAACAAAAATGTAATTTAGAGAGTCTTTTTAAGTTGCATCATTTCGACTTTTACGTTTTAGACAATTTTTTTTATTTTCGCATGTGTTTTAATCCATTTTTTAACAAAGTTTTTGACAACATTTGACACACAAATAAGAATTTGATACAAAATGATTAAATGATACACACTTAACAATAAATATTTTTGCAACAATTTTTTGTAGATAATACAGTTTTGGTGATAATTAAAAGTTTTTGACAATGCAAAATAATACGCAACTGTTAATTTCGGGAAACCTCTTTGTCTGTCGTCTTGCGAGTGATAATCGGCGGAATACGAATTACCTAATCTTATCAAGATATCGCTGGCTTGCGTCCCAGCTCACTTGATCTTGCACCTGGCCCAAAGTTTTTTCCTCTTTTTAATTACACGAAATTGTCAAAATTGAGCCAAGGTGCGTCTTTTTCTCTCATCTAAGTTCACCTTATCTCCTTGGCGAAAAGCAAAAAAAATCGCGCTATCTCATATTTGTTTTGAACAAAATTGAGCTAGGTCAATGGTAACTAGATTACGCTGTAAACTTTTTCGTAATTCAATATGATAAGCGTTATCATCATCGAAACGCAGTGTTATCAGTGAATTCGGGCGTTATGAAAATCGGGGGTTGCGACGAGCCGCCCATGCCGCCGCGAATATGCAGTTTTGATCTTTTCTTAAAGTCGGTCGCGAGTGCAAAAAATCGAAATTGGGCAAAATGAGTGAAAGATGTGGTGATAAGGCGTAATGTGGGAGTGTTGGGTGGAAAACGTGTCGGGAAATGGTCGTGTCGGAGGTGATGCAGGGCGCAGATTTGGTACACTTCGATTTTTTTATTTTGACATTTTTAATTGCGGGCCTGTACTCGTTATTCTGCGCATTTTCATTCGTCGCGGGAGGGGTAGGCGGGCACGCACTATTTTTTAGTGCCGGCTTATTACAGCAGATGTCTCATAGCCATGTCCCAATAAAGAATAAGCGGCCCGTCATTTTTTGCGCGCTTGAATTTTTAATATTCGCCCGAATGTCGTGACGTACTGACGTCGGCCCGTGACAGTGTGATAACAAGACAGTTCGCTTTTCGTATTTTGGCGGTCTAGTGTGCCTTGGAAGACGCTTCTGACATCTGTGCATCGCGACGCACAGTCGCGAAAATGTCCATGTGAGGAGAAAAAATGGACGCGCCGAAAAAAAACACACTCAGAGACATACATGACCCCTACGAATTTTAACAGGTAAAAAAATAAAAAAAAATTTTTTTTCAAATTATCAAAAAACGCAGATGGCTCGTGTCATTAACACTACCACAAACCTGTTAAGAAAAATCATTCATGATTATTTTTCTGATAAATTGCACGAACAAAACACAGTCGGCCCTGACCGACGCCGGTCGTCGCGGCGCTTTCCCTTTCCGCGTATTTTTTACCGATGCCATGTTTTCCCCCACCCCTTGTAACTATCCAATCAAATTTTTTCATGTAATTTATTTTTTAATGATTGAGCCGAGACGCGAACCCGTCTTTTAGATATCTGCAAATGCACCATCTGTGTTTTTTSGTGCGAATTTTTTTTGCACTGTTTATGTTTGAATTGTATTTATAGAACTTATCTCGCGCTTCGTAAAACCCCATAAACAGTTAATCAGCGAGTTATCTGTTATAATGCCGGCTATTATGGTGTTTGTAAGTCGACTTTTTACCCTTACCGGAAAAAGTGAGGGGGTGCGTGACGTAACCTCACTTTTTTCCGGGGGTCCCCGAGATGGCCAAAAACCGATTTTTTCTCTTGTTCCAGGTGAATAGTGATTACGATGGTAGATACACAACATTTCTGTCTGCGGTGGAACAATTACCAAAGCAGCATCACATCGGCTTTCGAGAATCTCCGGGATGATGAGGACTTCGTCGATGTTACGTTGGCTTGCGATGGAAAAAGTTTAAAGGCTCATCGTGTTGTTTTATCGGCTTGCAGTCCCTATTTTCGGGAATTACTTAAGGTGAGACAAGCATCCTGTTCAAGTGACTTTTGAACCGTAGGTTAACTTTATATTATTTACAAAATAGCTAAGTTGATTGCAAGCTTGCCCTTGAGCTTTCACTATCATTTATTAAATTATTTTGTGCGTCAAGATAAAAAAACACCATTTTTGAGATGCATAATATTTTTTCACAGCTAACTATTCGATATGCTTTATCAGTGTTTATCACTAATTTTTCAACATAATGCCATTGCGATAAGATTTCCATCACAGTGATGAGGGCCAGATTAGAATACTAATTAATTCACCAAAAAAAAAATCGCAAATCTCATTTTTTTGCGTTTAGTGAATTTTATCATAATTCGTTGCATTTTCCGATAAGTTTTATCTAAATGATTAACAAAATTCTCGAGTGGATGAAAAATGTTCGAAAATTGATAAAATAAGTCATTGTATCTATTAGATATTTTCTCAAGTATTTGATAAATAATTTAAACACTTCTACAAATACTATTTGTGCATTTTGTAACATGACCTTAATTTTTATACTTGAGTTTTTGGCGATTATCAAAAAACCGATGTTTAAACTGCACTCGAACGAGTTTTATCTTATTCATTTATTTTAATTCAGTGTATAACAATCTTTTTTCTATGCATGTTCTTTGGATTTTTTAACACTGTTTTAAACTAATTACGTAAGTTGCGTAAGTTTTTGGACGCCGGCTTTTAATTTTATAGTGTATGAATGCGTAACTCGGCTTTCGCCTCGTTTTWACTGTACCAGGTGAATCAAATTTTATCCACACCCTCAAAACACTTTTTCTAATTAAGCTAAAATTATGAAATTGACATTTAACCTTACTAGGAAAAAACTGTTCTATCAATTTATTTGTTCCTGACCTGACGTGACCAAAACTGCGTAATTATTTCTCTTGAAAAAAATTGTTGAATTGTTGAATAAAATTTATTTTTTATTATTTATAGGGAATTTTGGTCTAATGTATGATTTTGTTGAGTTAGCTGAATTGTTGAATTTTTGCTAGAAACACTCAAATATTTTTTTCAAACTCTCATATTTGAAAAAAATTTAGGAATGACCGAAATGACAAATAACATTTTACGGTAAAAATCATAAATTTTGAGAAATTTTGCGTTCGTAAAAACCACGTGTGATTTTTTTTTTATTATTAAAAAAATGTATTTTTAGTAATTATTGGAGGAAAAAAAGGAAGTTTTTTGGTTTCATTTTTTATGTTTTCATGTTTTGGATTATTAGGAATCACGAGAAATATAATTAAAAAAAAATACAAATGACAAAATGATAAATATTATAAATTTTGAGCTTTTCTTTGAAAAAACACCTGTGATTTTTTTACAATTTTAGTTTTATTAGAACAAGGAGTTTTAGCGGTGCAGATGAAACTTGATTTACCTTGTAGAAAAAATTCTTTCATCCGCAAATGTCACAAAAGTGACTACTTTTATTAGTAAATGTTACAAGTAAAAGTTTTACCTTTCAACTTGGGAGTAAAAATTCTGTGTTTGCGCCTAAGCAAACTCTTTCGCTACTTTAGTATTCGGCCTTTTGCACTACTAACTGCACTAGTTAAATTAATAAACTTTCGAAAATTTTAACACATATTTAACACAAATTTAAATTCGATACGTGATGTTTGTTTATAAGCGTTTTTATGTTTTTTTTTTACTTGCTAAGCGTCCTGATGATTTTGTTTACTTACTTGCTAATAATAGTGTTACTCTTTACTCTCGATTTGAATACGTTTGCGAATAAAATGGTATATGTTATTCGGAGTAAAAGTGAGTTTATGTGGCTCACCTGAATTATTTGCCTCACTACGTTCATCACTTTTGCTCCTAATAACATACACTATTAACAAAATATACATTTTTTCTGATGAACAATCGTGTTTTTAGTAATTTATTTAAGAAAAAAGAGAAGTTTTTCTTTGTTTTCACTATCGATCGAAATGACAAATGACATTTTGACTGTTCTATTTGAAAACCACGTGAGATTTTTTTACAATTTTAGTTTTAGGAGTGCAGACCTTGTACAAAAAAATGTTTTTTTTGTTTAAAATTTATTGAAGCATTTTCCACGTTTTTATGTTTTTATTTTTAAGAATCACGAGAAATGTCAATATGGTCCTATCGCCTCATTAATACTCGGTAATCTGTTATCGCTGAATTTAATAGAATAATGCAAAACACAGCAACATTCTTACATAACGTGTTATTGGCGATAAGTGGCCCGATCTAATTAATTTAAATCAAAATGTATCAAAATCGAAAATAGAATTTCATCTGGAATAAACCTCCCATTTATTTACACATTTCCAACTGTGTCTTTCACTTGTCTGACCCGTAATCACGTTTTAAATAAATAAAATATTACTAATCCTAATAAAACTTATCGCAATGCATTTAATCAGAACTTTATCTGTTGTGTTTGGACAGCGCACATATTTTTATAATATTCCATTTTTTTATCAAATGGAAAAAATCCTGACGCACTATTTGATTTTTTTTATACTTTCAGTCTACTCCTTGTAAACACCCTGTGATAGTCCTGCAAGATGTTGCATGGACGGACCTGCACGCACTCGTCGAATTTATCTACCATGGCGAAGTCAACGTGCACCAGCGCTCCCTCTCGTCCTTCCTCAAGACGGCGGAAGTGCTCCGGGTCAGCGGGCTCACCCAACAGCACGGCGACGACCGCGAACAGGTCAGTAAATAACGCAAAATTGACATTTTAATAATGTAGAAGGACACGAAATCTGGCACCGATCCGAAAATTGGAAAATAAATTGAAATCGGATTGGAAATGAAAAAATTAACACGTGGGTGGCGCGATCCTGATCAATATTTATTGGAAAAGAAAGACGATTTTTAATTACTACTGCAATTTTTTGAAATAAAAAAAAAGTTTATTTGGGTGTAGGCAACCAACAATACACGCTGTTATACAAATTGCCTAGATTTGTAAAATTAAACTTGTCAACTATTTTATTTACGACTTGTTTTTTAATTGAAAATAGATGTTTTTTGTAAAATAACAACAAGAAATAATTTATAAAAGACATTGACTTACTTTGTTTTTTTTGTAGTTTTATTTTGGTGGTTCAAGTGTCTTCAGGTAAGCTCGAAAAACGTACAAATTTCATCGATAAAAAGACGTTTAATTAAATTTTCAATTAAATCTAAAGCAGATGTTCATTGTCGCCGTTTTGCAGCTTTTAAACAAGTACCCAAATAACAAGTCATGAAGTACAGCATGTTATTACATTGAATTCTTTTTAAATTGACGTGTAATGAGGCATTAAAAAAAGGAAAATTGCTGTGGTATCGGCCCTAAGACGTTTTTGTCTGACAGATGTTGCGACCGGTTATTGATTTATTTGAGACATTGTCCATCTGCCAAAAATATTTTTTATTTTTTGAGTTAATTAAAAATAAATCTGAAATGCGGTTACTTTGTTACAGTAGAACATTTCTACTCCGACTATACTTTTCTTCGTAATGCACCGAAAAAAGATTTTTATCACAAACACTGACCTTTGTGTAATTATTAGTTTTTAATGTACATTAGAATATAAAAATTAAATATTATTTTTTTTGAACAAATACCTACACTTGTCAGTTTATTTATTACATTTGAATTTGATAGGTAGTTCGAAAAATTGGTAATTCGGACAACCTACCTGTTGCATCGCTAGTTCGAATTATTGAGGTTATACTGTAATTTTTATGAAAAATAGTAATTAGGCGAGGGGTTTATCTGACTGCCTGTGTAGTTTGTAAAGTGAAAAATTGATGACATTTTTTTTGGGCCAGAGGGGATTTTTTTATTGTTTTTTTTTTCTTTCGAAATTTTCGAAATTGTACAAAAAATTGTTTGTTTTTTGTTTTTGTTTTTTTTGTTCAGACTGTAAATAAAGCAATGTTTTTTCGTCTGACGAAATAAATTTTTAAAATATTTACTGTATTCGCTCATTTTTTTAACTAAAAAGTAAGTATTTATGAGAAATTTTGTCAAAAATATGCCAAAGGATTATCAAACTAGGTCTAAAATAGTATTGTTTTTGCCGAGGTTTTTGCCTTTTACGAGTGTTTAAAGAAGTTTTTCTTAAAAAATTTATTTTTTTTTGCTAAGCATGGCCGAAAAATTACCAAATTATGTAAAAAAAGATTTTTTCCAGCACTTTAGCAAATCATTCAACCAGAACATAACTGTTTTGAGACATACTTTGTTCAAAATAAGCCGAAAAATGACTAAATTAGGACAAAAATGTTGTTAGTTTTTCAACTAAAAATTTTGTTTTTTTGCGTTTTTTACTAAATCAGGATGTAAAATCACTAAATTAGATAGTAAACGGTACAATTTTTGTTTTTTTCCAGATTTTAAGTGTTTTTTTTTCGAAAACGAAAAATTTTATACAGGGTCTTTAAAAAAGATTGTAAAATATTTTAAGAGGTCTATGTAGTTTGTAAAATGAAAACTTGATTTGAGACGGAAGGATTTTTTTATTGTTTTTCTGGGGATTATACAAAAAATTGTCTGTTTTTTTAATAATTTTTTTATTCAGACTGTAAATAAAGCAATGTTTTTTTATCTGACGAAATAAATTTTTAAAATATTTACTGTATTCGCTCAATTTTTTAACTAAAAAAGTAAGTGTTTATGAGAAATTTTGTCAAAAATAAGGCAAAGGATTACCAAACTAGGTCTAAAATAGCATTGTTTTTGCCGAGGTTTTTGCCTTTTACGAGTGTTTAAGCAAGTTTTTTCCTAAAAATTTATTTATTTTTTTGCTGTACAAGGCCGAAAAATTACCAAATTATGTCAAAAATGATCTTTTCCTGTGCTTTAGCAAATTATTCAACCAGAACATAAATGTTTTGAGACATATTTTGTCCAAAATAAGCCGAAAAATGACTAAATTAGGACAAAAAATGTTGTTATTTTGATGTTATTTTTATATTTTTCGAGTGCTGAAGCAAGTTTTTCAACTAAAAATTTTGTTTTTTTGCGTTTTTTACTAAACCAGGATGAAAAATCACTAAATTGGGTAGTAAATGGTACAATTTTTGCTTTTCAGATTTTAAGTGGTTTTTTTTCGAAAACGCAAAATTTTATACAGTGTTTAAAAAAGATTGTACAACATTTTAAGAGGTCTGTGTAATTTGTAAAATGAAAACTTAATTTGAGACGGAAGGATTTTTTTAATTGTTTTTTAGCTTTTGTTTCGAAATTCTGGGGATTATACAAAAAATTGTTTGTTTTTTTTTAATAATTTTTTTATTCAGACTATAAATAAAGCAATGTTTTTTCGTCTAACGAAATAAATTTTTAAAATATTTACTGTATTCGATGTGTCCGCTTTTTTTTTAACCAAAAAGTAAGTAGTTATGTCAAAAATAAGCCAAAGGATTACTAAACTAGGTCTAAAATAGCATTGTTTTTGCCGATGTTTTTGCCTTTTACGAGTGTTTTTTTTCAAAAAAAATTTTTTTTGCTTTATAAAGCCGAAAAATTACCAAATTATGTCAAAAATGATCTTTTCCAGCCCTCTAGCACATTATTCAACCAGAACATACATGTTGTGAGACATATTTTGTCCACAATAAGCCGAAAAATGATTAAATTAGGACAAAAATGTTTTTAACTACAAATTTAGTTTTTTGCGTTTTTTATTAAACCAGGATGCAAAATCACTAAGTTAGGTAGTAAATGGAACATTTATTGCTTTTTTTCAAATTTTTTTTTTTGAAAACGCAATTATTTTGCAACGTTTTATACAGGGTGCTAAAAAAAGATTGTAAAATATTTCGAGAGGTAATAGTATGGACCAAAACAAACAAAAAAATCTTAATAAACATGAGTCCTCAAAGTAACTGTTTCGGAGATACCGAAAATTATTCGTTTTTTGAAACTTTTATTTGCAATCTGTTTAAACAAAAAAGAGAAGCTTCTAGTACAAATTCTAAAAATTTTCACATTTAATATCCCTGAAAACGTTACTTTGTTTATTTTGGTCCATACTATTACCTCTTTAAATATTTTTTTAACACCCTGTATGTGTAGATAACAAATTAATTAGATAAATTAGATACGAATACAAAAATGAAAATTATAGTTTGTTTTGTTGTAATTAAGGTAGGTAAATTTTTGATTTCAATTTTTTTTTCATTTTTTTTGTATTTCGTTTTGAAGTTGATTAAGTGTTAAATTATGTACAAGCGCTGATTTTTTTAATAAAAAACTAGTTATTGCCTACTTTTATTTCTTGTTTTTTTACATTTTTTTGTTTAATGGTTGCCAGATTTCGTTGTTAAAATCGGTGCATTTTTTTAATAATTTTTTTCGAATAGTTGGCGCAAGTACAAAGCCTGGTGCGCTCTCAGCAATCGACGCCGACGACGAACCACCACCACCCCAGCTTCACCGAGAAGTTAGTCGAGGACGCTTTATTCACCTCCCCCTCATCGCCGCCCCACGGCGCCACCGTCAACCAGCTCCTCCGTCGTGCGGCGATGCAGCACCGTCGCGAGCGTCGGATATCCTCCGACCCGGAGGGCGACCACAAACGGCCCCGCTCCGACCACATCATCGGCAACAACAACAATAACGAACTGAATCTATCGCACACGCAACCGCCTCAAACCCAGCCGGCCGATTTCTCCCCCAGCGCGATGAAAAACAACGCTCTTAATCTCAACATGAATTCGACGACGGGGACGACGACGACGCCGACGCCGACGCCGCAATTCAAGAGCGAGAATGAAGCGAATAATGGGATTACGAGTACGGAGAGGGAGAATTCGCCGTGCTCGCCGTCGCCGACGCTCAATTCGCGTCTGAATGAGGAGAATGTGAAGAGCGAGCCGATGGAATTGCTGTGTAGTACAAATCAGGATGAGAATAGCAATGATTCGGGCGATGTGGCGAACGACAACGGGCCTAATAATCTACCTCAAGGGCCGCATTCCGGTAGTTCGGCCGGGGACCACGACGACCATGATAGTCCAATCGGGCCGTATCTCACGCCGTCGGAGAGTAAACTGTTCGCGACGGCGGCGGGAAGCTTCAATTTCAGCATGGCGGCGCTGGCGGCGGATCCCACAGGACTTGGAGGTTAGTCGACGATGCAATGACACTTTTCTATCTTCTTTTTGAAGTAATCCTTATTTCTATTCAAAAATTATACCTAAATAATTTGGTCTCAAGGATATTTCTAAGTATTTTTTTATATCCTAGGGTGCTAAAAACGTAGTAGTAATCACTCTTGTAAAAATAAAGAAAATAGAAGATTTACATTACAGATTCTGTTAAAAACACGAGTATTTAAAAAAAGGAAAAAAATCAATAAATGAAAATTAGAATTTAAAAAGTTTGATGTGAAGGATATTTTCCTAGGGTTCTAAAAAACGTAATGAGGTAATCACTGTTGCAAAAATAATGAAAAGATTAAAAAACAGTTAAAAACACGAAAAATAAAAAAAATAAAAAGAAGTAATGAATGAAATTTGATCTGAAGGATATTTCTAAATTTCCTGTTACCTAGGGTTCTACAAAACGTCACTATTGCAAAAATAAAGAAAAGAGAAGATTTACATTACAAATTCTGTTAAAAACACGAAAAATTATAAAGAAATTTTAAAAAAAGTTGAAGAAATGAATGAATGAAAATTTAAAATTATTATACATAAAAAATTTGATTTGAAGGATATTTCTAAGTTTCCTATTGCCTAGGGTTCTAAAAAACGTAATGAGATAATCACTGTTGCAAAAATAAAGAAAAGACAAGATTTACTACAGATTCTGTTAAAAATACGAAAAATAAAAAAATAAAAAAAGTAATGAATAAAAATTAAAAATTATGTATTAACACAAAAAAAAATCTGAAGAATATTTCTAAATTTCTTGTTGCCAACGGTTCTAAAAAACGTTACTATTGCAAAAATAAAGAAAAGAGAAGATTTACACTACAGATTCTGTTAAAAACACGAAAAATAAAAACAAAACAAAAAAAGGAATGAATGAAAATTAAAAATTATGTATTAACACAAAAAAAAATCTGAAGAATATTTCTAAATTTCCTGTTGCTTAGGGTTCTAAAAAACGTCACTATTGCAAAAATAAAGAAAAGAGAAGATTTATATTACAGATTCTGTTAAAAACACGAAAAATTTTAAGGAAAAAAAAAGTTGAAAAAAATTATTATACACAAAAAATTTGATGTGATGGATATTTCTAAGTTTCCTATTGCCTAGGGTTCTAAAAAACGTTATAAGATTATCACTGTTGGAAAAATAAGGAAAAGAGAAGATTTACATTACAGAGTCTGTTAAAAACACGAAAAATAAAAAAATAAATTAATGAATGAAAAAATAATAAATTATGTATTAACATAATAAATTTGATCCGAAGGATATTTCTAAATTTCCTGTTGTCTAGGGTTTTAAAAAACGTAATGAGATAATCACTATTGCAAAGATAAAGAAAAGAGAAGATTTACATTACTGATTTTGTTAAAAACACGATAAATTATAAAAAAAAATCTAAAAAAAGTTGAAAAAACAAATGAACGAAAATTTAAAATCATTATACAACAATAAAAAATTAACGAATGAAAATTAAAAATTATGTGGAATACATAAAAAAATTGATCTGAAGGAAATTTCTAAGTTTACTGTTGCCTAGGGTTGTAAATAACGTATTGCAAAAATAAAGTAAAAAAAATTAACACTACAGATTTTGTTAAAAACACGAAAAATGAAAAAAAAAATAAGAAAAAAGCTAGCGATAGATTGGACTTTTTAAATAACCTAAAAACATTGAAATTAGCAGAAAGTAAAGTTTTTTTATCGCAAAATTTTATATTAGCGAACAATCCCACATAATTTAAATAAAAATGAATTTTTATTAAATTGTAATTGATTTTATTCTATTACCTGACTTTTTAGCATTTTTAATTTATTTAAAATTAGAATAGCCAAAATTTTTTTTTTTTCAAAATGTGTCAAAAAGATCAAAAATGATGGATGTAATAAGTTTAATAAACGTTAATTGAAATGCGAAAAAATTATTATCAAGATTAACTTTTAGAAATATGCAATAGTAAATCAAATCATTAAGAATTGTAGTGAGTCTTTTTTCGCTAAGCCCAGACCTATTCTGAATGATATATACTATTTTCTCTTCAAGCGTATCACAAAGAAAAAAACCCTTAAAAAATTGTAAACATTTTTGTTATTAATAATTACTTAATTAATTATAATCATAGGAAGGAAATGGAAACAACAATTTTTATTGAATTTCAATATTATTTTAATTAAAAAGAAATCAGTTTCCATTAACTTGTTAAGTTTTTAGATTTCAGTTTGATTCAAAATTTTTTTGAAAATATATTTATGGTAATTCTGAAAAAAATGTGATATCAAATAAATGATTGGTGAAAACATTTAGTCTACATTTTTTTGGCGTAAAAAAGAAAGAATTGAAAATAAAAATTATAAAAAAACTATACAAAACATGATAAAATTAATCTTTTATTCAAAAACAATAAGCACTGAATCCAATAATACAAAATAAGTTTTTTTATTGACAAAGGAAAATCACATTTATTTTACATGAGAAGAAAAATAAAATCTGAATACACTTTTAGTTTGCTGTTTTTTTTAGTCGTAGAGATGTAATTCTTGTTTTCTACGACCCTACAAAATGTTAAGAGTTTAACCAATGGTACAAAAGTGAAGAGAAGAAAATATATTTCATATGCTGTCAAAAACTACGAAGCAAGAAAAAAAGTAAGCATAAATTTTAAAAAAATAAAAAAAAGTAGAACAGTGTTAGCAGAAAATTAAGTATTTTTCAATATAAATAATCAGTAGTAATGGAGAGGACACGAAAAATATAATTGTTATTATGGAACTTCTCAATTTTATTTTAATTCAAATAAAAATTAAGTTCTATTAACTCATTGTGTGTAATTATGCATTTTGATTTTTTTAATAAAGTTTTTATATTTTATTTGATTTATTCGAAGTATAATAAATAGTTAAAGTTGTCATTTCTTTTAAAAATGTGTTCTCGGAAAAGTTTAGGATTTCAGAAATGGTGGAGGCGCCGGGCTAACAAATTATTTTTCAATAATTTTTAATTTTATAAATTTTGGATTAGTATTACAGCTCTGTTAGCAGAATTCTGGGTAGTTTGTTTACAGTTTTTCCTAAAAAATTCTTCGATAGACTTTTTATTTCTTTTTTTTTAATAGAAAGAAATACTAATTTCTAGATTAAAATTCTGTTAATTTCTCTTTTAATTTTCTTTCTTCTCTTTCTATTTTTCTTCATAACAGTGAACTGCTCAACTAACCCTCCGACTAACAAAATCGACCATCAGAAATGTGAAAAGGGCCTGGCAGTTGACTGTTTAGTTAACTGCGTTTAAACTCAAGTTTTATTTTTTCCAGGTTTAAATCAGTCTCTGCAGGCGAACGCTGACAGTCTCGCAGGCACTTCACAAGGTAAGAATCGTTGTTTTTCTCAAATTTTTTTCTAAAAAATCCACTTTTTGATTTTTCTTAACGCTGAAATCAAGCTCTCTCAAACGAAAATTTGAGCTAGCTTCCTTACGACGATTCGTAACAAAATTTAAAATTACTTTTTATTTTTGCTTAAAAAGTGTTACGACTCGTCAAAATCGTTAATTTGGTTTTGTTTGGAAAAAGTAACGCTATGGGCCTTCAATGTGTCTCTTTTCGCAAGCAAAACCCGATGAAGAGAGCTTCCGAAATGTTGTGATGTCTTGTGTGTGCCTCTCATTTTCACCCGTTTTTGGCAGTTCTCTTTGTCTGTACTAATGTTTATGTTTGGAATGTCTTAACAATGTGTGATTCATTTATTTGATTTCACTTTTCTTATTTTTTTGTTAATTTGTCCCTGGTCTGTTTGTGTTGTTTACTTTCATTGCGTTGTTTTTTTGTCATTTTTTTTTCTGGGGAAGCCAATAATAAGCGAAAAAAGCCAGAGCTTACGAATTGAAAAAAAAAATCACGCGCCCCCCTTCTGATTTATCAGTGGTCGCTCTCACCGGCCGACCCGTTTCATGTTTTGTTGTAAAATTGATGTATAGGCCTGGTCTGAGCCCCCCTCCGATTTTTGCAGAGTCGTCGGGGGGCGGAAGACCGGGCAGGACGGCGTTTTGCGACATTTGCAATAAAACCTTCTCACGGTTTTGGTCCCTCCAACGTCATCTATCTGACACGCACTATTACACGCCACAAAATCTACAATGCGACGTTTGCGGAAGGTCGTACAGATCACGGAACTCGCTTGTCAGCCATCGGAGTCAATATCACAGGGAAGGAAACGAAATCAAATTTGAGAATGACTGCTTCACCTAAAAAACTACCGGTCATTGTATAATATAGCGTATGAAAAAATTCTAGGATTAGAGAAAATGATTCATTTATTACAATGCTTGTTTATTTTGTTACGAATTGGGATTGTTTTCTCTAATTCATCTTCGCAGAAAAGTTTCGTTGTGTATAAAATGAAGAATGTTGCAATAATCAAGATTATCATCGGAAAAAGCGACGAACAAATGCGAGTTTGAGTGAACGGGGTAGAGAGAGTGATACAGTGTGACGTATTTTATCATATTTAAATAATATCTACAAGCAAGAGAATTTGTACATTTTTTTGGGATTAAATAACGAGAATATTTAACAAAAAAAACCAAAACTATATTTTGAATTTTTTTAACCGTGTCAGATCTTGATCACAAAAAATGTTAAATTTAGTATCTCACAGGGAAAAAAAGAAATTTTGTTGTTTTTATTGTTTTATTTTCGGTATTTTTAGGCTTGAAAATATTTTTTTTAATCTGTTACTAAATGCATATATACAGGCTGTCTAGAAAATACGTTGAAAGATTGTTTTGCAAATACCTATATTGCCCGGGGTTCGTAAGGAACTAGAGCGTCGTTCAAAAGCGGCACAAGAGACATTTTTTTTTAAAATTAATCAATAAATTTGAATTTGTAGGATTTTTTTTTTAAATAGTTTGCAAAACAAATTTTTTAACGTTAACGTTTTTTAAATTTTTGGAATTTTTATTTTATACAGGGTGAGTCTTAACTTAATGATAATAACTAATAGTGAAAAAAATTCTGGTAAAAGTTTCTTAGTTATCTAGATATATCGCTATTAAATTCCAAAATTTTAGATAAATTTGCACTGATGACATCATAGCTAAGTAAATCGATTTTTTTAATTTAGGTGGGGTTAAGTGGTATTTTCTTATTGACAATCAATAAAAATAAAAAAGTTTTATTTAAGTTATTCTTAATTTTTTATATATCATAATTTTTTATTTTATGTTAAAACTCGCCCTGTTTAGCAGTTTTTTTCTACCGTGCATATCATCTCGTTTAAATTTCAAGTTTAGTTTTTATTAAGTACCATCTGCCCTATTTTGGTATTTGATAGTTTTAGAAATATTTAAATCAAAAACAATTTTAAATAAATCAAAATATGAGTGGTTTCGTTTTTATTGTGCTAGAATATTCAATTTTTAGACTAAAGTTGGCCATAAACATGTATTGAAAAATACATCTTCTGTGACGGGTGCGTTTTTAATGGGTTTTTTCCAATATTTTAAAAACCATTGTAGATAAAATACAAAATTTGGAACAGATGATAACCTAAATATCTTACCTAAACGAATTCAAAATCAAATGACGAAATTTTTAATCATAATTATAACTGGGGAGCGTTGAGTAAAAAGTATCTTAACTACGAGTATTTTGGCTTTTTCGATACATGTTTATAGAAAAATTGTGTCTTAAAATTGAATATTTTATCACTCGTTTAAATTAGTAAAAATAAAAACGAATAACCCTGTATATTGCAGCTACACTAGGTGACCCAAGTTTTATCCGCACGTAGTAAATAAATTAACAGATTTTAAATTTGTTTTTTTCACTTTTGTGAAAATTCTGACTTTAAATCGCGAATTGAACATTATTAATTTCTCGCAAGTACTTGAAACGGCCTCATTTTTTTGATATAATGCATTGAAATGGCACTAAATTTAATTTAATTTTGATATTGAAGCACTAACTTTTTCATAAGTTATGAAAAAGTCGTGCGAAAAGGCTGAAACACCGGTACCGCGGTAGTTTTTTTAGAATTTATAGTATTTGGGGGATTTTTCCAAATTGTAGCAATTTTTTCTACTAAAATTTTTGTGATAAAATCGTTTTTTTTTTTTAAGTTTTATGAAGTGGTAAGGTTGATATCGATTTGTTGTAATATAGTATAAATTAGAAAGTGATTTTTGGGGGGTGTGAATAAAACTCGTCACCTGGTACAAAACTATTTTTCAGCGAACTTTTCTATAATAGAAATTGAGTTTGAAGAATACTCAAAATTTTTTTGTCGGTCATTCTGTATAAAATGCGTTTTCACATTTTTTTAAATTAGAAAAGTTCTTGTTTTGTTTCAAAGTTGGCATGAGCTTAAGGTTATTTTGTATGCAAAAATTTAATTTTTAGTTTTGTTATCGACTTTCATAGAATTAAAATCTATTAATGTGGTTTAAAAGAAAATGAAAAACGTTTATTTATAATTACCAGTTTAATTTGTTAACATTGTGTAGCCTGTCTTGTAGAAGCAAAATTATTAATTATAATTGCTAGAACTTGAACTTGAATAAATTCCGATTTCGTGTGTATAAATTCTTTTGCCGGCTTATTTTTTTTCTATAAATCTTGTTAAATGATTTTGTAATTTATTTCTTTCCCTCTTTTTTTTGTATTTCTTATTTCCGTGGTCAGAAGTTCATCATATGACGTCAGCTCATTTCATTTTGATTTGTTTTGAAGCATTCCAAAGTGACATTTGTACTGTTTCGGGTGAATTGTCGCTAGATGGCGTCATATCGTGAATCCGGTAGATGGCGCTCATGTAAATTATCGCGCGGCAAATTAGATTAGCAGAAAACGCGTGTATATAAGCTTTAAAAAAAAAACATAATTGAAAAAAAAGCGGCTGAGAGAGGCTAATGGGGCCCCTTTTCTGCCGCCAGGTGGTGTGGACGAGTTCCGATGTCAACCCTGCAACAAAAGTCTGTCCTCCCTGACGAGACTGAAGAGACACATACAGAATGTGCACATGCGCCCCTCCCGGGAACCAGTCTGCAACATTTGCAAGAGAGTATACAGCAGTCTAAACTCACTCAGAAATCACAAGAGCATTTACCATAGGAACGTTAAAAATATCAAAACGGAAGATATAATCACGCCGCATTCGTTCTATCTATAACATGATTCAAACACGAGACACTTTTTGTTTTGTTTATTTTCCGAAATGACGTACAAATAATACAATAATAATTTTTTTGAAAGGCCGCGGGTCGGTTCGATGATCGAGTGGGTCCTCGAACCGTCTCGATCTCCTCCTCCACGACTAAAAAAATGCTTGAAAAAAATAAGGAAAATTAATTTAAGACTTGCTTGACTTTTGAGCGGGGGCCTAATTCGGTGTTGTGTTGTTCTCGGTGGCAGCTAGAAGGTTGAGTCTTCCACTTCCACTGAGCGCCACCCATCGCTGTGACGTCTGCGGGAAGCTCCTCAGCACCAAACTCACACTGAAAAGGCACAAGGAACAACAACATCTTCAGCCGCTCAACAACGCCGTGTGTAATCTCTGTCACAAAGTGTTTCGGACACTGAATTCGCTTAACAATCATCGCAGTATTTATCATCGTAGACAAAAATGAGAGGTTTTAAAGACAGTCGTCACCTATGTTAAGCCCCCGCTGCATTACAAGTCTAGCAATCAAACTTGTAATTTACTGAAATAATGGAGATCCGGTCTATGATAGGGGGCGGCTTTAGTTTGTTAAGTCTCCATTATTTTAATCGAGTCCACGTTACATTTCGGTTTATTTGGCTCTGTGATATTTTTTTGTTGTTGGAAAAAGTCGAAAGTTTATTTAAATTGTAACGCGGAAACGGAAATTGAAGCAAATCAAAGCCTTTTTATAATTATAATCGGTGAAAGGGAATTCTTCCAGTTATATATACATATTTAAAGAAAAATATATTAGAATAATATATGTTTATTTATCTTTTCTTTTTATTAATCAATTAATGGTTTATGCTCTGGCTCGGAGCTAGTTTGTATTTGATTGGAATAAAGCTAAAATGTACGAGAGACAGGACTTGAGTTTCTTAAAAGACTGAAATTAGTTTAAATGATATTTTGCGGTATTCTTTAAGACTGACTACTTTTGACTGATTTTTTTGGTAAGAAAGATTGGCAACCCCGTGAATTGTAACACTTTTGGTCCTGTGTAGTAAGACAGAGTTTTTTTCATTTTTTTTGCATTTACGCATGTTCATGTTGTTTGATGCAATATTTATCATATTTTATGTACTGTTGTATAACCTTTATTTATGTTTAAATATATTTTTACAATTTGCAAAAGCAGCTTGGGTTTTATTTTGCTTGTTTCGTG